TATGATAATTTTTAGTAACAACATCTTACATGGGTAACACATTGTGTTACTATATAAAAAAAATCAATGTCTTACAAACAAGAGTTTCATGTTGTGTTGGCATATATTACTTTCTAGTTTAAAAAAAAAAAACCCAATGCTTCACAATGGTAATGTCGTGTTACCACGTTTTATTTTTTATAAAAGCTTATCGAGGTTGTCTTATTTATATCGCTTTACATCATACAACTTTTCGAAGTGGACGTCACCTTGTCTCTCGCGCATTTGTCTCTTGAGGTGTAACATTTTTTTTTACAGCATAACCCTATCAATTAATTCGTTTTTTTTTTCCCTTCAACTTGTAACATTACTATATGAGGTTAATGCTCCTAATAAGATAGGATCATTTTCGTTTTTCTAATTTTATTTATCTTTCACAAGCACCTTGGCCGTGTGAAAAATTATCTCTACAGTTGAATTCTTGGTGTCGGACACACCCATCAATGAATGTTTTCTTCTTAGAAATACCTCATACTCTTTTTTGGTCAGGTAGCAGAAAAGGAAGAGTTGGCCGAGCTGAAAACCCAGTTGCATGTGACGAAGTGAGGAGAAGAAGGGCAAAGAGATCTGTAACTTTCAATCTGATCTACGACTTGAATTGCACATGTTATATTATTTTTTATATATCACTACCAGCTAAATTTGTATTGTTTTTCAAGGTGTAATTGTATTATAATATGTAAAGAAAGGACTTCTATTACATTTTGATGACTTTCCTATGTTGTACAAACAAAATTCTACTTTTCTTTGCATAATAAAACTATTTTATTTCAAATTCAACATTGACAACCGAGTACCGTGCACGAAATTAGTTTGTGTCGATTGAAGGGAAGTAAATCACGCAATTAATGATAGTGATCATTTCTGGCCTCAGAACTTGACTGAACACTATTATAGATAAGATGGGCAATGACGCCCACAAATTAGATACAAATTTTTCTGAACAAGACAGTCCAAAGCGAAGAAATCTTGTACATTTGAGCGCTCGGTTCTCGTGCCTTGTGACTTTTGGAAACGGCCGCAACAAAGTATCGACAAATTCTACAATTTTCCATGCATGCTTTTGCACGTGTAGAGCTTAAAAAGTTAAATTACATTTAAGTAAATTCATAAAACACGCTACATAAAATTATAAGATGAACATAAATAAGTTTGTGGGCCACTCTATTCCCTCGCGAGGGATAAAACGGCACGTGCCACATCTTACATCCTGCGTTAAGGCTACAACTAACACACGCCATAGTAAGAAAATCACGAATCATATATAACTAAGATTGGACCAATTTAGAGACAAACTCTTCAATGTTTTTATCAGAACTTCCACCTTCATCAACAGCTTCTCTAGCCAATTCCTTCCATTTGATGGCATTTTTCCTGATCTCTTCGCCTGTCTCGCCTTCCATCACTTGCTTCATGCAACGATAAATCGTTTCTCGACTAACTATCCCTTTCTTGTCAGTCTCTACTCGAATTCCCATCTTCCAAACATCCATCAAGTATTTTGCGTTGGTGCTTTGGTCAGTCCATTGAGGCATTGCCACCATTGGGACTCCCAAACTCAGTGCCTCCAACGTAGAATTCCACCCACAATGTGAAATGAAGCAACCTACAGACTTATGTGCCAAAACATCTAATTGAGGACACCATGACACTATTAGCCCTTTCTCACGAGTTTCTTCGGCAAAATTCTTCGGAAGTTTTGACTCTTCTGATGCTCTAACAACCCATAAAAAGTACTTATTGCTCATTCTTAAGCCCCATGCCAATTCTTCCATTTGCTCCAGTCCTAATTGTGCCATGCTACCAAATGAAACATAAATTACTGACACGGGTTCTCGTTTATCGAGCCATTCCATGCAGGCGTCAGTCATTGGTTTATAGAAACTAAGATTGTATTCTCTGTCGTCATTGAGACGCTTGTCTAAATACATCGATGGTATGGTCGGTCCAATCGCCTTCACCGGTAAATACTTCGCCATCCAATCAATCACCTAAGTAGCAAGAATCTGTTAGGCTTCATTCCTTGCTTAATCATGATATATAACTTAACTATGCATACATCATGTCATTCTTGTAGTATTGACCTTACCATGAACATGAATTACAAAAACTCGTGCACAATAACACTATAACAACAAACTAAGCCTTATTTTCAATGTAAAAAGTTCATAATTTTGACGTGTGCATAGTATTAGGCTTGTTGAATGATCAAACGGGACTAAGATTTAACAAAGGAAATTCAAAATAAAGTTCCAAGTAGTGTCACCTCTTCCTACAACTTGTAGAAAGTATTGAAGAGTAGCCAGTCTGCTTTCTCAGTATTTTCGAACTGATTAACAACCACGTCCTTTAGAGGAGGATATGATCCATAAACATAAAAAAAGGAAGGCATATCACAGGGCTTCAATGGAGGCAATCCAGGAAGCAAAATTTCACTCTCTGAAAGTGGAAGTTTCACATCTCCTTTGTAGGCATGGTAGTATATGTGATCCACAGCACAAGACTGAGTGAAAAACGTGGCGCCAAGCAATCCGAGTTTCTTGGCTAAATCAAGACCCCATGGAAGAAATGCGTCGTAAATTATACAATCAACAGGGCAGCCTGAGTTTTTAAGCCTTTCGATAAGTTCTTCCAATGTTTCTGTCCCAACTTGACGAAAACGAGATGAATACTCATCTGCAATCTCTCCTCTAAATCCTACTTCGTCGTATCCATCAGAAATTGTTTCAACAGAAATAGTACCTGAAAATTGTTGCATAGTCTTGAATAAATATTTTGTTGTAGCTAGTGTGATTTTGATTCCTTTATGCCTCTAACGCTTAGCAAATTGGAGCATAGGATTTATGTGACCTTGGAGAGGAAATGGCAAGATTAAGCAATGAGCTTTGCATTCTTCTTCTTCTCCTTTCTCCATCCTGATCCCGATTTACTCCAAAGTTCTATTGTTCTTTATACAGAGAGAATACACAGAAAATTTGTGTGATTGTGAAATTGAGATTTCCTCAAGTCCCTTCAGACAATGTATTAAATGTCCAGGTCAGCACTATATGCTGAGTACAAACATTCCTTTTCAAAACTATAGAGAAACCAAAGCTGTCTTGGGAATGAAATAATTAAAAGTAACTTTTAAAGCATAACGAAACTTTATTTTTTGCTTAGCCAAACAAGCTCTATAGTTGGGTTCTTGGCAACACTTCGAGTAAATTTAATTAATAGCCTCTGAATTTTGTTTACCACTTGTTCACCAAAATTTTAAAAAATACTCTTTACTCACTGAATTTTGCTTACCAAAATTTAAATTGTTACTTGTTTCTCACCTAAATTTGTACAAGTTACTCGTTATTCACTTAACTTTGCTACTGGTAACACTGTTGAAAATAGTATAGGTGATTGATTGGTAACTTTGTTCAAATTTGAGTGAACAACGAGTAACCTTTTAAATTTTAGTGAGCAAGTAGTAATCTATAGGAAAGTTCAGTGTGCAAAGAGGAACTTTTTAAATTTATATGAAAGAGCAGTAACCTATTAATAAATTTCGATGACCATTGATTGAATTACTCACAACCAATGCTCTTGGACTTGTTTAGTTGAAGGCCCCTCTAATCATGTGCTTTTCTTTTCAAGGGGGTAGGTGTGTTTGTACTAAAGAATCCGCAAATTTACAAATATTCAATCACTAAAAAACTAGTTTGTATATTGGACAGTAATGAAAAGAATAAACGAAAATATTATGTGGTTGAACTTTTCTTTAAAAAATCACTTTTTTTGGTTTGTGTGTGGGTCCCAACTTCTTCCGACTTCCCCGACAACTTGATGCATGTGTTCACACGATGAAGATTTATTTTACTTGTACATTCTTTGTGTACGTCATTGTTGACGTTGACAAAACACCAACCAAAAATGCTCAATGAAATCCCAAAAAATGTCCAGTATTGGCTGAATATTTTATAGGCAATTTGAATGCTCAAACTAGCAAAATTTTAGCAGAATTGCACAGTGGCTTAAAGTTGTCCAGTATTGCTTAAGAAAAATGCACAGGAAAATATCCCATTTATAGAGCCAATATAAAAGTGCGAGTGAATTATTTAAGCAAATATATTATTTGTTTATCATATTAAGATTGAACCAGTATAAACATGTATGTACTTTGCTCGTTTATGATTATATCGCCCTCGAAAGTAAGAATTAACAGAGGCATATGCATATTAGAAACAAATTATTGAAAATGATGTTACTTGCGCTTCCTCGAATTTGTGGAAGATGTTGAAAAGTAGCCAGTCTGCCTTTTTCAACATTCTGGAACTGTTTAACAAGTAACAACCATTTCCAATAGATTGTGTGAAAAAAAGCAGCACCAACCAATCCCAATTTCTTGGCTAAATCAAGACGACATGGAAAAATGTAACGTATATTCAATCAACAGGTCAGCTCGAACTGTTAAGCCTTTCGAGAAGTTCTTCCAGAGTTTCTGTCCCAACTTGACGAAAACAAGCCAAATATGCTTCTGAGCTCTCTGCCGCATCAGCTCCTCAATCGTGAAATCAATCAGAAATTGTTTTGACAGAAAAGAACCCGACTATTCATAGGTAGTCTTGAATAAGTGTTCCTTTTATGTCTTAGTGTTCTATGCAAGTTTTAGTCTTATGGACAGAATACACAAAAATATGTGGTTCTTGTGAACATTGGATGTCCCCAAATCCCTCCAAGGATTATCATTATCATGTTTCGTTAGTGTCCTAGACAAGAACATGTGTCCAATAAATTCAACAGTATATGGGAACTACAAAGTTTCTACACACCAAACATGCTATCATGTTTATCCCATCCATGACCTCGTAAAATTTTTGTAAAGAGGACCGGAAACTAGCCGACCGTAGTGAAGAAGAAAAATAAGTTAAAATCTTGTTCATCGTAGTGTTTGGTACTACACAGCAAAATGAAATGGAAGTGATGTTACAATATCAAATTATCTTTGCGGGAGGATTAATCAGTGAAGAAACAAATTCTATTATGTTGTTATCTGAACTCCCTCCCTCATCAACTGCCTCTATAGCGAATTCCTTCCATTTTTTTAAGTTTTTTCTGATCTCTTCGGCGCTGTCTCCCTCCATGACATTCTTTATGCAACCAACAATCTCCGTTTGCTCGACTATACCTTTCTCATTTTGTCTAGCCTTGATTCCCACTTTCCAAACATTCTCAACAAACTTCGCATTTGTGCTTTGGTCAGTCCATTGAGGCATTGCCACCATAGGAACTCCCAAACTCAATGCCTCCAATGTAGAATTCCAACCACAATGTGTGATGAAGCACCCTATCGCCTTGTGTGCAAAAACTTCCAACTGTGGACACCATGGCACGATTAGTCCTTTCTTGGACGTCTCCTCTAAAAATTTCTTGGGAAGCTTAGCTTCTTCGGATGATCTAACCACCCACAAGAAGAACTTGTCGCTCGTTTTTAAGCCCTGTGCCACTTCTTCCATTTGATCGGCTCCTAATTGAGCCAAACTTCCAAACGAAACATAAACAACCGATCTATTTGCTCGTTCATTAAGCCATTTCATGCAGACATCAGTGATAGGCTTGAAGATACTAAGACCGTACTCTTTGTCATCTTGAAGCCTCTTGTCCAAATACATTGAAGGTACGGTTGGGCCAATTGCCTTCACTGGTAAACACTTCGCCATACAATTAATCACCTAGCATAAAAGCATTGAATTAGTTAGTTACAAAATTCGACTTGAATTGTGTTCAAGAGGTATGCTGCCTTTGGAAATCTTTGACGAGGTGATTGTGTCTAATAATGCTTTTAGATGAGGTGATTCGACTACAAATTGAAATCTACCAATGAAATGATTGCATATATACCTCTTCTTCCAACTTGTGAAAAGTATTAACAAGAATCCAGTCTGCTTTCTCCAGATACTGAAACTGATTCAGAATCATTTCAAAAGTTGAAGGGTATGATCCATGAACATAAACAAAAGAAGGTAAATCTGAAGGTTCCAGCACTGGTAATCCAGGAATCACTATATTTTTAGTCTCTGAAAGAGGAAGTTTCAACTCCTTTTTACACACATGGTAATATATATTGTCCACAGCACAAGATTGAGTGAAAAAAGCAGCAGAAACTAATCCAAATTTCTTGGCTACATCAAGACCCCATGAAAGAAACGGATCATAAATTATACAATCTACAGCACAATCTATTCTGTGCTTCTCTACGAGTTCTGATAAAGTTTCTGTTCCGACCTGACGAAACCGAGCCCGGTATGCTTCTGAACTCTCAGCCTCAGCCCTCCCTCCTTCATCAAATCCATCAGAGATTGTTTCCAGGGAAATATTGGAGGAACCTGAAAATTCTTGCACGGTTTTGCTCAAGAATTTTGTTACGGCTAAAGTGATTTTTACGTGTTTATGCCTTAAGCGTTTGGCGAATTGGAGCATAGGATTTATATGTCCCTGGTTTGGATATGGCAAGATTAAACAGTGAGCTGTGTGATTTTCTTTTCCTTTCTCCATTTTTGCCTTACGTTTCCATGGGGATGCCTATGCAAGTACTTAAAGACAACTTCTTTGGCATTCGTATATGTAAACGTGTTGATTTTTTGTTTTTCTTTCCCAATTACACGATTTTACGGAACTAATATAACCCTCCTCATGTCATCTTGTCGTCTCCCAAGGGTTTTACTCTAGTATCAAATATGGTCGAATCGACTTGAAGTTGATCATGGATTACCAATAAGCCTAAAGTGAATTCTTCCAGGGTTGATGTCCAAGCAATTAATCAATTTTAGCTCGAATGGAATTTGGAGAGGAACCCTACTTTCTCTGATCCATGTAGTACCGGACATGAGATAGATTTTTTNGAAAAAAGCAGCAGAAACTAATCCAAATTTCTTGGCTACATCAAGACCCCATGAAAGAAACGGATCATAAATTATACAATCTACAGCACAATCTATTCTGTGCTTCTCTACGAGTTCTGATAAAGTTTCTGTTCCTAGCTGACGAAACCGAGCCCGGTATGCTTCTGAACTCTCAGCCTCAGCCCTCCCTCCTTCATCAAATCCATCAGAGATTGTTTCCAGGGAAATATTGGAGGAACCTGAAAATTCTTGCACGGTTTTGCTCAAGAATTTTGTTACGGCTAAAGTGATTTTTACGTGTTTATGCCTTAAGCGTTTGGCGAATTGGAGCATAGGATTTATATGTCCCTGGATTGGATATGGCAAGATTAAACAGTGAGCTGTGTGATTTTCTTTTCCTTTCTCCATTTTTGCCTTACATTTCTATGGGGATGCCTATGCAAGTACTTAAAGACAACTTCTTTGGCATTTGTATATGTAAACGTGTTGATTTTTTGTTTTTCTTTCCCAATTACACGATTTTACGGAACTAATATAACCCTCCTCATGTCATCTTGTCGTCTCCCAAGGGTTTTACTCTAGTATCAAATATGGTTGAATCGACTTGAAGTTGATCATGGATTACCAATAAGCCTAAAGTGAATTCTTCCAGGGTTGATGTCCAAGCAATTAATCAATTTTAGCTCGAATGGAATTTGTAGAGGAACCCTACTTTCTCTGATCCATGTAGTACCGGACATGAGATAGATTTTTTTAAAGAAGAATGCATTTTTTGAATAAGCCAATTAGTACAAGTAAGCTAATTCAGTAGATTTCATTTTATGTAGTTCACAAACAACAAATCCATGAGTATTTGAACGCGAGTATCCAGAACAAAGTTGAATATTTGACGCAAGGTTGGGGAACCCTTTTGACTTGCTTATGATAAGGGTTTCAATATATCGATTTTGTTGAAAAATCCAAGTTAAATTTAGCCAAAATACATGCAATAAAATCTTTGTGTTCGGCTCAATCCTTTTAGTAAAAGATTGTGTACTTTGAAAAATATGCTAGATGTGCTCAATTGGTCGAAATTTTTGAATTAGATCGTGGTACGAGAGAATGTCCAAGTCTTTCTTAGTGTCATAACTTGTTTACTAAGTTTTTATTTGTAATACATCCGTGTCAAACTTCGTTTCTTGTTGATTGTGAAACTTCCAACCATCCGCACCACAACCTTGGCAAGTAATCGTTTTCAAATGTCACCATCAACTGATCGAAGTGACTATTTCTCATGCTAATTTAGTCAATTGCGTACCATAACTACATTCTTCGAAATCCAAGGAAAAAAACCAAATTCATACAAAATTGTTCTTTAATTCGTGTTAATTATTTTCTATACTATAAAGCAGGGATATGTCCAATTGAGTGTTGAATATATTTTTTTTTTGGGTCAGAAACCATAATACTCTTATATATGTTTAGTGAAACAAGAATTGGGTTGTACGGTCAATAATAAAATCAATGTAAGAAAGTTTTCTTTAGTTAGTCATTAAATTCTTAAGAGCTAGCTTACTTTGTTGGAGTTGACTCAAATAATTACTTTGAAGATAAGGGATTTCATATGCAATATGGACTTGAAATAGTTAGGGGTTGTTATTCGTATTTCAATTTTAAGTTTCGAGTTTTGAATTCATTTTGGATTTTGTGTTTTGAATGTCAATTTTGAGATTGTTGAAAACACGTTCTTTTTGTCATTTTGAAAAATTATTTTCAAAAATAAAAATATGAAGTTTTGGCTTGGTATTAACTGAAAACAGCCAAAACGACTTTTTTGGCGTTTTCTATTTTTTTTTGTAAATTTTAAACTCGTTTTTGGAAATTTGTTTATGAAAATAAGTAAGTAAACGTGTTTTCAGTGCTTTCGAAAATTGAAAACTGAAAATGACCTGAAAATAGCAAAGAGAACAAGCACTTAGTTCTTTGAAAGAAAGTCAGCCGCCAGCTAAGAAAAATAAAGGTTGGGGCTAGGGTTAATTGAGACCCAAAGTTGAAGGTTTTCATTATAAATATTTGTAATTGGCATTGAATAAACAATTTTCCTACTTATACATGGCTGATTTATAGATTGGTTGCCAGAATATGAGATGACAGTTTTTGGACCCTAGATTTGAATCTTATTTCTGTCAACAAATTTGCACAAAAATTATGTACATGTAGCAACTTTCTTGATCAAATCGGAGAGATACGGACAGAAGAAAAACTGCTCC